TCACTGAGCCATTTATCCCTCTGCCCTTCAATTAATCCCACATGTGTTTATCAGCCAGGTTGACACAATAAACTAACTACCTCAGGGTGCTAACCAAAAGATTGGTAGTTTGAAACCACCAGTCACTCTGCAAGAGAAAGATGAGGCAGTCTGATTTCATGAAGATTTGCTTATGGTGTAGAAACCTATGGGGCATCTCAGCTCAGTTCTATATGGTTACTATGAGTCAGAGTTGACTGGTGGAGAGGGTACCACCATACTGAATGGTGCAAGACTAGAGAGATACTTTCTGCCTAAGGTCAGGCAGTAGATAATAATATCCACTCTCCAACTTTTATTCACCATTGTACTGGAGAGTGTAGACAGGGCAACTAAGCAAAATAAAGAAATAAAAGCCCTCCAGATTAGGAAGGAAAAATTTAAATGTCTCTATTCACAGATGGCATGCTAGTGTATATAGACAATGTTGAGGAAATCACTAAGAATTGTTATGAGTAATAAATGAGTTCAGCAAGATTACAAGATACAAACTCAATATGCAAAAATCAATACATCTACAATGGGAAAAAAATTCCATTCATCACTATAGCATAAAAAAGAATTAAATATTTAGGAATAAATGTAACAAAATAAGTTTAAACTGTATACTCTAAAAACTACAACACAGTGTTGAAAGAAATCAAAGTTCTTAATAAATGGAAAAATATCATATGCTCAAGGACTAGAAGGCCTAACATTGTTAAGCTTGCAACATTCTCCAAACTGAGCTCCAGATGCAACTATTTATCTACAGAGTCAATAATTTTTATCAGAATCCCAGGTGGTTTTTTTGTATAAATAGGTAAGTTAATTCTAAAATTCATGTTATTTCAAGGAACCTAGAATAACTAAGATACTCTTTAAAAAGAAGAGTAAAGTAGCCTCAAGGCTCATATACCTGGATTTTAAAACCTACTAAAAGGCAATAAAAAGTTGTTAAATAAGAATGGTAAAATCCACATCTTGTTGGGCATGTGTGTGTACATACAAAGTTATGTATAAACAAAGTTAATATCAACATCACTGGAAATAAGACTGGAAGGTGAGATACATATTCATGTTTAAAAATATATAATTGCTATTACAAGTAATTGGGTTTTAAAAACTTGTTGGTAAATTTGTGGCACTCCTCCTACCTAGAAGTCAAGTCTAATTCCCTTCTTACTGATTACAGATGGGCCTAGTGGTATAGTGATAATGTATTAGGCTGCAATCCACATGGTTGGTTGTTTAAAACCATCAGCAGCTCCTGGGGAGAAAGACTGGGCTTTCTATGCCCATAAACCATTACAGTCTCAGAAACCCACAGGGGGTCTCTATGAGAGAGTGTTTATCCTTTTATTTTTTATTTTTAGTTTGAAAGCTGCTTTATAAGCCAAAAATGTTGAAATCAAGGTAAAACATTTTAACTTCATAAGATTCAAATTTTGTTTTTAAAGATCATATAGTAAGTGGAAGGAAATACTAAAATAAAATTATTGCTAAGAAGGAAACAGTCCCTCTTGCCAGGTACTGATAGATCAGGTAGGTATACGTGTGTGAGGAGGGAAGTACTATTGGGAAAGTATGAATATTGTACTTTTCCTAATAGAACCGCTGGATATGGGGTATATGGTCATACTCTGGGAAGGAGTGGTCTCTAACCTTAATATAATGCAACACACGTGGCACTGTGGCACTTCCTTGGTCAAGTCATAAAAGGCAAGGCAGCTTCTACCTGGTACTTGCACTTGGGACTCTTACCCTTAGGATGCAGTTACTACGTTGTAAGGAAGTCCAGGCCACATGGAGGCAGCCACAGGTGGGTGTTGTGACCTATACACGTACTTCATCACATCTCAGTCACCAGCCACCAGTAGTCACCAAATGAGGGAACTAGCCTTTGCTATGTCCCCAGAACAAGCCACTGCCTGGCTGAAAGCATCATGGAACTCTCGGAAAGGGAATGCCTAGCTGAGTCCAGTCCAGTCAAGAGTCCTGAGAAGTAATAATCAACGACCAGTGTTATCCAATGAGGAGGGTAGTATCCAACATTGGGACAGTGGTTTTTACCTTTGTGTTTTCCAGAATTAGGAAGAAATTTATTTCATTTCATATTTTCACACGTAACCTTGTAGATAATGGATGTAGAAACTCTGCATGAATCCCTGCTTGAAAACAGAATATCATGCTGAAGAAGAGGCTGAGTTTTAGCATGGTCATTTAATTGCTGAAAAAAGAAGTTTATTGTTTTCTTAACCAATTATACAAAACTAGATTTTCTAAAAAACAAAAAAATTCCCTCCAATCTCTTTAAGGGAACTGAGATTAGCAAGAGGCTACAGCTAGTTGCTTAACCTTATCAGTGGTTTTGAGGAAGCCATATATATATAAATAGCTAGTCAGGGCTCAGTCCTGAGAGGGCACCACCATTTCCAATTAGACACCCATGGGAGACCAGGTGGAAGGCCGGTGGGGTGGGCCTCATCCGCTAGGTCTCCATTGTGTTCTGGGTGGGCAAGAACTGGTTGCCGCTTCTTGGTGACTCTGGGACGTTTGCGGCTACTTGTCCTGGCGTTTCTAGGATCGCTTCAGAGGCAAGCAGGATCTGCGCAGCATTCTCTCTGTGCACCATCACCTGGGTGTGAGGTGTGCGGGGGCTCAGTGCACTGGGTGCAGGAATCCTGGGGTCTTTATCCAGGCTACAGCCCATGCCAGTCAGTCTTCTCGTGCCCTCACCATAGTCTCTGTGGAAAGAGGAAGCACACGCTAGAAAGAAAGTCGGGCACGGCTGAGCAGGCTGCCTGAGCTAGCCCTTCCCTGGCACTAGGCAGTTAGGCTGAGTCCAGAAGCCCCTCTCATCTCCCAGTCAACTGTCACATGTCACTGTTGCTTCAATGACTCCGATGATTGCAACTTCCAGAAAGCTTAGCTGGAACCACATCCCCCACTGGTCCACTTAAGGTCCAGGGCAATTGTTGGCCCTGTTGTCACTCAGACTATGACGACATCTCTAGTCCCACCCTCTAACCACACACAGACTCCAGAATACATCCAACGTCCTGAGGAACAGAGCCTGGTCAAGCGGCACGTAATGACTAAAGACTCCCACTCCTCCTCCACCCTTCCTGACCTCCATAGCCTAACAGTAGAACTTGACCCCCAAACTCAGTATCCTTGTACATGGTCCTTGCAGGTCATGACTACCTCTAAGGCCTTACTCCCTCCTGGCAGGCTCAGTGGACTGCCACTGAACTTCACCCCAGTTCAGGTCTCTTACAACGTGGGCATGATTTGAGGAACTTCAGATATTTTTGATGTCCTCATGGAATGGTTTACAGGCCATTGGACATTCCAACGACATTTCCCCTTGACCTATGCACCTGAAAGCTCTTGAAAGAGGTAGTAGCATCAGAACTACAAGAGGCTGAGCATGGGGCAGGGACAGGTCTTAGGACCCCTGGTTCCTCCCTCTTTGCCCTGAGGAACGACATCTTCAGCATGTGGGAGGGGCAGGAGGTCAAGACCTCTCCTGTATTGTTTGCTGTCCTGTACCCTGGAAGGGTTTCCTCTCTGGGCCTCTGTTTCCTTACACATTCAACAAGGAAGCTGGCTCCAACGAGGAGAGATGTTTGCCTTCCTGAGCTTTCTGGGGCTCCTGTCAAGGAAGGAGGCTTACCAATGTGTTCTGGTACCCTGAAGTGTTCTGCAAGTAATTCAGCAAGGACATATGTGTGTGGGACTTAACATCAGGCTGGTAACTTGTGCTATGCCTAGTGTGAGCTTCTAAACATGTTCCTCACCAAAAGGGGCACGGAAATTCGGATACGGACTGGGTTCTGCGATCGGTGGAAAAATACTAGATAAGCCTGGGGCATATTATGCAAGAAAAGAAATGCTCAGAGGATGATGGGACATATCAGGCAGACACAGGCCCAGCTCGAAGGGCTCCCGCTGGTCAAAGTACTGTTAGAGAGAAATAAAAAGTGCTTTACAGTAAGGAGAGGAGAGGGTTGATGGCGTGGCTCGGCCATGAGTTAGTCATTGTTGAAGCTGCGACAGCATATCATGACACTTCTCTGTATTTGTGTATTTGTGAAATTTTCCTAAAATGAAAGTTTTTAGAACGTATATCCATGAGTTCCCATCGATGCTAACAATTACAACAAAAAATCACCATAAAAGTGGAAAGTGGGTGTCGTAAGAATGATGAAGTCAACATATGTACTAAAGTGCTGGGCAAAGATGACGTATGTACAGATTGTGATGAGTTGTATGAGCCCCTAATAAAGTGATTATTTAAATTTTTAAAAAATCACCATAAAGAAAGGGAGGGGGGGACAAAGACCCCCCACTTTCATCCTCAAGACCATGACCTAATTGCAGCAGAATTATAGGACTGCCATTTTGCAAGCTTCTTGGGTAATAACTAATCCTGGGATGGTCTCCTGATGTGAGGCTGTGGGCCAGCATCTGTAGGTGCAAGAGTGGCCCCACTCTGAGCAGCTTCTTAGTTAATTGGTGGGAGAACCCTTTGGCAGACAAGCCTTACCCAAACACCAGTCTGCACCGGTGCACCAAGGGCTCCCGACATCCGTGCCTCTGGATGAATGAAAAAGACATAGCACCTGTGCAGTCCTTGTGCTGGGAATGCCTACCTGCATCTGGCAAGGGAGCCCAGATCGGCCCTTGTGGGTCCTTTGTAGGGCCCCTGCTGGAGGCTCCTTACCATTGCATGAAAGAGAGACCCAGAGACCTGATCATGTACTGAGCTGTGCATAATCCTGGATAGATCCGGGACCACAGCACGCAGACATACATTCACTGATAATCATGACATTGGGGAACAGTCTCTATCTAACATAGTCCTTATTCCATCAAGGTCAAATGTCTTAAGTCAGAGAAAGAGCGGGAAAGGAAGAGGGGGATGGGGGGGGGAGGTGTTGAGAGAGAGGGAGAAAAAGAGAGAGAGGATGTGGTTGAGCCGGCTACTGACTTCAGGGGATGCAGGTGCTGTGTGTACCTCCAGTTTTATGTAGGTTTGAATTCTCAAAATGAAAAGGAAAAAAATGGGTGGCAGCTTTATTAGAAATGCTGACAGTGAGAACAAAGTCAGCTTGTTCCTGCAGGGGTGGAGTTTGGATGTTCGGGGGTGCTGAGGCCCTGAGAGGGCAAGGTAAGTCTAACTTATCGCAGGATGTAGTCCTTACTATCAGCAGGCCCCAGGATGGACTACCCAGACAGATGCCCCCACAACCCCCAGGCCTAGGCACCCATACCCACATGGTGAAGCAGCGGTTGTCATATGCCTGTGTGGCAGCTTCTCCCAAGCAGGACTGGCTCCTGGGGTGGATGTTATTGTTGTTGTTAAGGCCCTTGAGGCTAAGGTAGGCAGCCTGGACCGTCTCCAGGTCCCCGACTCTGAGCTGGTACCACAGCTGGACCGTCCTGGAGGAGAGAATAAACACACAGCATCCCCAGGCAGGGGTCCAGCCACACCAGGTGCTTCACGCAACCCAAGCAGTGCACAGGCCTTCACACATCTTCTGAAATGACCAGGAAGAGGATCCTGCAGGCCCCACAAGCCAGACAACTATTCAACTCAGTGCTGTAGCACAAAAGCAACCATAGAGTGTATCACGCCAAGGAGCCAGCCCTCACAGCGTGGACTTTATTTATGAGAACACCTGTGGGCTCTGGCTAAACCACCCCTGTCCACAGTGGCAGTGATGCCATGGGAAGAACAGTAGCACATCAGTTGCGGACCATATGGGTCTGCAGGGGAAAGGATAACACACAGTTGCTGTGCACCTCCGTGAGGTGGGCTGCTCTGACTTTGGAGTTGAATCACTGCTCAGGTTTTCTTTAGGGTCTCACTACACATGCACAGGTCCTGAACAGGGTGCCCTGGACGCAGGGCTGCTGGGGCCCCTTCCATAGCGCAGTGCCAAGCCTCCCGGCTGTAGTGACATATAGCCCAATTCTGCAAGTTCAGGACTATCTTCCATCCCTTAGGCAGCTCACTAAGATGATCCCCTTAGAAGCCTCCTGGAGGCCAGCAGTTCAGCAGAAATACACAGCTCCACAGGACTCTCTTACCTAAGTAGACTTAACAGACAGCTCCAGAACACTCTGACCAACAGAAGAAAACAATTTTTTTTCAAGCACATATAGAACATTTTTTCAGGTTAAATCTTATGTAAGGTCATGTGTGCCTAACATAGGTAGGCCATATACAATCTACCAGACATGCCAAGGGCATTTCCTGTAACATACTCTTTGCCCACTCCTCTGATGGGAATGTGGGCACCAAGAGGGCAGCAGGGCTCAAGGCTGCAGGACCGTTCCACGTGGAGGGCCCAAGGCTTAGAGACTATGGACCATCGCCATAGCTCTTCCCACCCCCACCCAAGGGCCAGGCGGTACCTGTCAGAGCGATGCTGCTCTTCTCGCTTCACACATTTCATGAGGCAGCAGGTCAGGAAGGCCATGGCCATGAGCAGGATGATGGCACAGCTGATGATGGAGGCAATCACTGCCACCCTGAAGCCAAAGGTCTCGTACGGGGGCACAGCTGTGAGAGAGAAACAGACCAACTCATGGGTGGGCTTCTGCAAACCCACTGGAGCCCCAGGGTCAGAGCCAGCCTGGCCTCAAGAAGTCTGTTCTGAGGACTGGGCACAACTGTGAACAAACTGGTGTGGGTAGGGTTCCCAAACATGATTCTCCCAAGACCCCTCCCATCTTGGGAGGATCTCTGGAGCGTAAGGAGTTTGCAGAGTGGAAAATTGCCAAGAAGCTCTGATGGGAAGTCAGTGTAATGATCTCCCTTTTCCCCACTCACTGGAACCATGGCTAAGAAGCAGAGGAAGGGTGGGGCCAACTCGGCCAGCCCAGGGCCCAAGTTCTCACATTGGTCTGAACTGGCAAACACCTTTAAAGCCCTACGTGCCTTTTCTAGAAAGGAACAAACCAAAAAACTTCTCAGCCTCTGGGGACAAACAGCCTTGGTTTAAACCCTGCCGTGGTCATGTGTCAGTTGTGTTGAGAACTAGGGTTTCCTGCGTTCTAAGGCATGGACTGTGGAAAAAAGAAGTTGGGATCTTAATGTGAGCCACAGTGCGTACTGTGCCGCCTTGGTAAGGACACTCATGTTCCCCATTATTCATTTTCCCCTTGGCTCCTAACTCGACGTCATCCATGTACTATCAAAATGCCATTTCCCAGTCTTCATTGAAAACGCATGTGACAACAGACCATGTTCTGACAACAGGATAAAAGAGGAATGATGTGGAGTAATTTCCAAGGACCTTCCTTAAGACACTG